CGTGCCGCTGTCGAGCCTGTCTAGTTTATGTCGCTTCACTGAGCGATATAAATTATTTCTGGTAATACGAGGAAGCTAATATTTTATGAGCGTGGGTCACCTCTTTACCCTGAAAACAAGAACGGTGCTTAGCGTAGTAATTACGGAAGGATGCGCGTTTTAATTCTGGAGCGAAACTTACCTCTATTTTGGATTTAATTTCTCGACAGAGGTCTTACTTTCGGGTTCTTTCATGACTCAAGATGTGCCTCACATCGTAATTCTTTACTTAGAAAAGTTGTTCCCGAAAACTTTACTTTGTGACGTACTGTTCGATCCAGGCTGATATTCGTAGTTTTTGAAAAAATCAGTGCTGATATCTGTGCGTTCTCGCTGCCTTTTTCTAGCTCAGATAATTGTCATAGGAAATAATGACAATTATGCCAGCACAAGATTAAGAGAATAATTCCAATTTTTACAATATGTCCACGAAACGCATAAACTAATAAACGCTGCTCTCACTGCAACAACCCAAGACGGAATCCGAGTCGGACAGCTGAAGTGTGTATGTGTGTTTTTATAGCACCGCGTGACGCGTAGGACTTCATATTACATCCAGCGTTTAACTGTTTGTCTTTCTTGATAACTATGTCAGAGTTTTTCATATGCTAAAAAGAAAGCAGAATTATACCTTTTTGGAAAGACTATTATGGTTAAATAGAGTATTCTCGTGATCTTGGCGTTAATTAGAGGCATACATTGCCGCGATTTGTATTAATAATAATAATATTAAAATTCACAAATTTGAATAAGTAATTCTTCAAGCTCTAATATAATTTGTTGCTTATGATCTAATCTTAAACGCGCGAAGAAATATGACAATGAAAACTGTGCTAATTATCATCACTAGTTCCAATTGCTGCATTTTAACTATAATTAAAATAAAAATTGTCTAAAATCAATGAAAACATTCTCGCTAAAGTGAGAAACCCATGTAAAATTACATTAATTGTGGGTAATGTAGATTGTGCTATCAAAGTCGCGACCTTTGACAATAGGCGAAACGTCCAAAGTCGCCGCCAATATACTTCCAGACCAAATGCCCAAAAGTAAAAAAAAAAAAAAAACTTTTTTTAATTACGAGTTTTTTCATAACATTTATTTACTTTTGTATTTGCTCGCCGACGTTTTGCCAATCTTAGCCTTTCCAGTTCGAAGGAACGCCTACCTGCTTGCACGTCTGCTCACTGCAGCACGTTTCGTTGGCGTTGGAAGCCGGTGAAACAGTAGTGAGTTTTAATATTGCGTATAGGAGCGAACTCAAGCCCTGTGTGTTTGCGTTAGCTTTGCGCGTTCCACACTGCGCGTGCGCGGAGCTCGAAATTGCGGTCTTGGATGGCGCATGGCGATGAGGCGCACGCACAACGTGGGGCACGCAACTCTAACGCAAACTCACACCGCTTGCGTTTGCTTCTATGCGCAATATTAGAACTCTCCAGTAAGGTACAATCCCATACTGGCTGCAGCACTACGTTGGGACAGTGAAGAGTGCTGTTTGCATCCGGAAACCACATTTCGCGAGCCATGATCGCGAGCAGTTCCGCCATGCCCGCTGTGCAGGAGAATCGGGGGACCCTCACTAGAGCGCTTCTCGTTTCCGCCGCGGGAGGGCGAGCGTCGAGCTGGAGACGCGAATAGAGCAAACCGGCTCGGAGAAAGAGGTAAGAACAAAAGTACGCGAAAGTTTTCAAGCTGTAATGTCGTCATTTTATAGTTTCGCAGGAACTTCCGCTTGGCACGGCCGGCATGCGATGACCTCATCGACCAATTCTAGAGGTCAATCTTTTCCCCGTAAACTTTTCACCACTGTGGTTTGCCCACCAAGACAGCAGAAGAGCACATCCTCTCGTTCCTTTGGTGAGTCACTTCAGCCAACATGCGATAGCACTTGACAGGGTTGCGTCGAGCCTAATGCAGCCGACGAGGCACACAAAAAAAGCTGATTTATACAAGGGTCGTATTTCAAATTATCCTGGTTATCATTTAGACACATAATTAGTTTACCATCCAATAATAACTGAATTTTTACCTAAAACGGGAAGTAAATGTGTGCTCACTGATTAGTTCAGTATTTGCTGTCTCGAATTCCACTTTGCTTGCGGGCCGTACAAGAGTTACCTTGTTTCGAGGAAAGAAAGCTCTCCAGTATTTTGCAGTAAATCTCCGCCAAACTGTGTCCCAAAGATTGAACAAAAAATGCATAGTTAAGCTATGTACTGTCGGGGACAAAAGTCTCCAGGACACGCGAGCTGCGGCTGAAACGCATTGCTCTGCCATCTGCCGGCGGGTCGCCTGGTTTCAAGATCACACAAAAGCGCATGCGGGTCCTACTTTGCCTGCGAACATGCCTGTTTTCCCGCTTTTCTGCGTCACAGTGCCAAACTCGGAATCAGGCGCGTGGTACCGCCTCGTAGATAGCGCTGGCGGCTTACGGGCGTCTGCTACACATTCCGAAACACGAGATACCGCCTGGGGCATTGCGCCGCATTTCGCTGTGTCAGCGCACCTTGCTTTATAACCAGTTGAGTTTATCGCTCAGTTGAGTTGCCGTGACTTCTTGCTTTATAGGTGCCATGTCAGTAAGCGCTATCTCCGGGGCGGTACCGCGCACCTGATTCCGAGTTAGGCGCCGCGCCGCAGAAGAGCAGGAAAGCGCACATGTTGGCACGCACAGTAGGACGCGCATGCGCTTTTCTGTGATCTCGAAACCAGGCGACCCGCCGGCAGATGGCAGAGCGATGCGTTTCAGTCGCAGCTCGCGTGTCCTGGAGACTTTTGTCTCCGACTGTACATAATGGAGCATAAGTGCATTAAAACCTGCAAATGTATAGGCTCTTTAAAGCTGTGGTGCAGCAAATGCGTGTGAATACGACATGGCAAACTAGTGTCGACATTTCTTTTTGCCTCGCGGAATTAAATTGCTGCTGCAATACATTAATAATTTTTGTTTTCAGTACCGTGTATTATTGTTTGTCTGTTACCTTATGCGGTATGAAAAAATAAAGAGTGTACAGCAGATTTGAATCGAAATTACATTTACCGTAATGCTACTACTAGTATGTGCAAAATATTACACATTATGCTTGTGGATAGCTCCTGTCAACGTGTTGAGCACGCAAGTAGCGAGCCTAATGTTAGTACCCAGAAGGTCGGCTTTGACGTATTGAGGTAGATTGGTCAACAAACGTCTCTTTGTCGTTTTCTCTTCCAGCAAACATGGTCATTCTTGTTTGTGCGACAACTGGAGTGGCAGCTGTGAAGACCCTTTCTGCAGTTATCTAGGTATGTGGCCAACAAGTCTTCAATGCGGGAGTGTGCTCTCCTTTTCAAAATGGCAGACTCCACTCAAATGGCCGTGATCGACAGGGTGCTAAAGTTTCTGTGCTGCAGTGCTCCTGACGTAATTTACTTCGCAGTCGACAAGGATGCCCTGGCCAAAGATTAAAAAAAGTGAGTTGCCTCGTGCATTGATGTGTCTTGTGGTGAAAATTCTGTATTAGCATTTAGAGTAAACAACGAAAGTTGGCTACTTAATGTCTTGGAGCTGCAAACTTCGGAGTCGGAATAATTTCTTGCGTCTGCTTTTCTTTACCTTGCGATGAAATGAGTGTGAAATAGTGACAGTAATCCAAGGACCGAAGTAGAAATGGAGTTGCATAATTTTGGCGGTAATGAAATGAATGGCATGTATGGGGCCTCGCAAAATTTCCAAATGTGTCAATTTATTTTGAATTGGTGTGAACCCAGCAAATTAGAGCCTGCATTGAAATCAGTGTTTTCACCCTAGCGCTATGCGGAAACGGTCAAAGGGCAATCTTGCAAACTCGTACAAGTACTGTAGGAAGTACAAGTTAACTGAGAACCCGTGCTTTTGTTGCTTGATAGAAGAAAGCTGTAAGGAAAATATTGTTAAATTCACATTCTTACACTTCTGCAATGGAGAGTAATTCTGATTTTGTTTTTGACAACCGAATCTTGCAATTTCTCAAGCCACACCACCAATTTGGACGGATTCTTTTAAGGGCCGTGCTCATGATGCTTTAACTAATCTTTGTCGGACAATTTTTTAGCAAACCTGTTATTAGGCAAGGCACACTTTAAAGTACTCTTACAATGCGACATATGTAGTCAACCCACTGAGTGGCTTCGGCGGATGTTCGATCTAAAACAAATTGTGTTTTTTTTTCACATACTGGCATACTTGAAAACTTCGCCCCTTCAAAACAACTGCCTTCTTTGTTTGCAGCTACTTCATAAAAATGGCCTTATGCTCCCGAACTGCTTGAGAAAATTTTGGCATTCTACACCTGATTATGATTCCACCTTTTCCTTTACAGCTGGCAGCCTTTCCCAGTGTGATTGGGTGTATTGACGACACTTACATACCCACACGTTGGCCAAGCAACCGAACGAGATCGACCTGCATCAACCGGCATAATCAACTCTCTCTTACCATGCAAGAGATATGCGACGCAAAGGGAAGATTGCAGGAAGCATTCACGGGACCGCCGAGCAAAGTTCACTAGGCTCGTGTTCTAGGGTTGTCTGGAGTGCAGGAGAATTTGTCCACCAATTGTAAGGTTGATAAATACCATCTTTTAGGAGACGTAGCCTACCCGATCAGGGAGCACCTATTGACGCCCTTCACACATTATGGTGGCATGACGAAAGCTAAAAGCACATTCAACAGCCGACTTGCTGCCGCGAGGGTGCAAACTGAAAACGCTTTCGGCCTATTGAACCAGAGGTTTCGGCAGCTGCGGTACGTAGAGTTCACAGCAGTAGATAAGATAACTCAGCTTATCGTGAGATGTTGCTTCCTACACAACATTTGCATGGATGCTGGCGACGTGAGCGTTGATGACCTACTGACGGTTGAAGAGAGAAGAAAAAGAAGGGAAGGCCTTGCCCTTCATATCCGACAGAAACGAGCAGAGCTGGAGGCATTTCGACAGCCACAAACTGCACGTGACACTGCACTCCGCCAGCTCAGTTAAGCGAAGAGGGATGCCTTGGCACAGCTGTTCTAAGGCACCGCACAAGAGCGTTCACTGTCGGAGACACTGCCCAACAGCCGCGGTACCAGACACTTTCAGCATAGTGTTTTTGTATTAATCAGAATTTCTTGACTGCTGAAATGGTATGTTACAAATAAAGCAGTCTCGTTGTACTTATTGTTCGCTGGCGACGTCACTCAGTGCTTCCATTTGCTCTCTGTGAGCTATCAGCAGCTCTTGGTGTCGCTGCTCTCTTCGATTCTCCCGCTCCTCTCTTTTCTCCTCTTTCTCATCATTTAGCTTTTTAATTAAAAAAAAACATGTGTTGCATGCGAGTATTGCTTGGGCGCATCCCTTTGTTCGTTTTTCGTTTTTTAGACCCCTTATTACCTCCTGATGCTCTTCGTTATGTTGAAGCTTCATCAGAACCAGCAGGGCTTGCAATTCGCTCAAAGCTATCCAGCTCGTCGTCCTGCGTAGCCCACGATGGCCCGGCTTTCGGAGAAGTCAGCGTTGAGAGCTTGTGTGTAACTCTGTCCACACCCCGGAGCACTTCAGGCTCCAAGCTGTCGTCGATGACCCTTATTGCCCTAAATTCTTCTTTAAAAAGACCCGGCAACGGGAATTCCCCGACGTTCTGTTATGCTAGTCTTCGTCGCGTTTGCGTTTGACCAGTGTCTTGTAATGGGTCTCGCATTGAACACCTGTACGATAGATGTTTAGCACATCAAATATGTCTTTGGCAATTTGTTAAAACATCGCGCTGTTGCCACAATATTTTTTCATCGGTCCAACCTGTCTTGCATACTGGGTGTACTAGCTTAACAAAAGTTTTGTTCCTTCCTCTTCCCATGGCGCTGTTGAGAGAACAAAAGAAATGAAACCAGGTAAACGGGCTTTCTCAAGTCTAACATTTAAATAATTTTGTTTTTGTTTAAAATATCTGCTTACCATTTGAAGGCAAGTTCCCGTTTTCTGCTGGCACGTTTGGAACATCGGGAATTTTTTGGCTCCCTATTGCGCTGCTTGCTTGGCTCCCTGTTGAGCCACTTAGTTGGCTCCTGGTTGAATTCGGGCACCGATCCTGCAGAAAGTGCAGACCCCGGTGCTTAACAACGCACTTGCTGCTAACTGAGTATCGCTGTCGCTGACTAATACCTGATTCACATGGTGCTGTTTTACTTGCGATTTCGCAGTGTAACCGCACTGACAACCCGGGAGTCAAATTTAGCTTTAAATCTGCCGGAAAACGCTGAAATATGCATGCATGCGGACATAAAAAAATCATACAGCGCGGGCCAAAATGGGCAGGACCACATTAACCTAATCTGAGGGCCAGATTTACTTTTTTTTTTTCTGTGACAAAATAGGAGGCCGATGCTGCTCGTGCAGCGATTGACGAACAGAATCGCACATGCTGCACGCGCGGTCTTGGTCGGGCACTAAGCGGCAGAAACCGTTGCCCTTTGCATGCTAGCGCGCTGTTCGGCGTCTAGCAAATTTATGTACTTGTCAGACGATGCAAAAAGCAACAACTGAGCAACTAGCGTGCGAAAACAACGGCAGTCACTAGTGTGCGGCTGAAGAGCCAGCCGTGCAAATTTGCCATTTGCTGTAAATATTCGCTAACAGCTATGATCACAGGCAGAATACCGCTCGGTGCTTTACAGGTGATGTTACTCACCCCTAATCAGCGAATACAGGAGGTGCTCGGCGCTTGACGAGTTTGACGAAGAGCTTTCCAAGCGAAGATCAGCGTCTACGTTGACGGCTGCCATTTTTCAAGGATTGACAGATGGATGACTGAATACTGCTAAACCCTTTGAATGCGAGCAGTAAAAGTTCCGCTAGAGGGCGGCTCGCGCCGTCCTCTAATGGCTCAGGCCACCCTCTATCCACTCGGCTTGGCGCTCTGAAAAATTGTGGTGCATTCGGCTGGGCGGGCCGATTCTCTCGCTACGATGCGGAGGTTCTCCAGCATCTGGTAGCTCTTACTCGGATGATGGGAGCGCTCGAAAGGGACCAGGCGAATATACCATTAGTGCTAAGGTGTCTGACTCATACGCGGGGTACCGCGGTTTGATCCGCAGTTTGGGCTTACTTTTTTTTTTTTTTCTCTCCAACGGTTTTTTTTTTGTCGAGTCTTTAGGAATAGTTTGCGACCTTTATTTTTTACCGTTAACACACAAAAAAAAAACGGATGTTGTCGATGAAACTTCGCTGACCTAAATGGTATGGCACTCCCTTTTAGGAGGCGCATGGAGGACAGCGGGAGTTAAGTTGCCGGCTGCACGCCTCGAAGTGGCGTGTACGGGGGGGGGGAGGGGGGGGGGGGGAAGTGGGCTAATAGTTTTGTAATGAGCGGCAGACTGTCTCACCGAAGTGGCGTGAATGCAGGCAAGGGGCTGCGGTCACACGCTCCCCAGTGATACACGCGCTGTCCCAAATCAAAATCCAAGTTCGCGCGCGTTGCCGATGAGCCATTCGGCGTGAGCGCCGTTGCTAGGGTGTCCTCCTTTCCCTCTGTTTTTTTCTCTCGACGCGTTGGGGGTCCACGTGATCGGATATACGCAACCGTCCAACAACGCTTACAACATCCTCCATTAAATTCCAATTCATAAACTAAGATGGACGCTCTTCTCTATCTAAGCGCTTCCCCCTCGCACAGTGGGCGGGTGATATAAGGGAGGAAAAGGGCAGATTTTTCTGAAACTTCATCTGATAAACAACTTGCCTTTTTGTCTGTGTGGTTTTCGTTTTGTTTCTGCCGTGCGGCGAATTGGCTTGGCTAGCGCAATGTATTTTTGTTCTCTGCTGGTTCATTCCCTTTATATGAAAATTGGGTAACTATTTTACGCGACTGTATTTGCCCTCTCTAATGGAATAATTTATCTGGCGCTACGGGGCAATCCGGAATGGATAAATACTACGGAGGACTTAAACGATCGTTTTTTAGAGCGCAGCTCTTAGGCGCCCGTTTCCGGCTTGAGCGGCGTCGGCGTCGGCGTCGCCGTCGGCGTCTGTGTATTCGCTCGGTCACGTGACCCCCAAGGCCACGTGACCCCCCAAGGTCACGTCACCCCCATGCCACGTGACCTCCCCTGAGGTCACGTGACCCCCAGGTAACGTAACCAGCCAGGTCACGAGGCCCAAAGGTCACGTGACCCCCTCGAGGACACGTGACCCCCCGGTCACATGACCACCCAGGTCACGTGGCCCCCCACGTCACATGAAGCCCCGAGGTCGTGACCCCTTCCCAGGTCACGTGACCCTCCGAGGCCACGTAACCCCCCCCCCCCCCCCCGAGGTCGCGTGACCCCCGGCCACGTGATCTCCCTCCGAGGTCACGTGGCCCCCCAGGTCACATTGCCCCCCAGGTCACGTGACCCCCCTCTCCTCGCCCTCTTCCCTCCTCAAGAGCTGCGCTCTAATTCGGCGTTACAGGGACTTGTAAACGGCTTTCATTTTTTTTTTCTTTTTCACGGTTAGTAATTTCCAATTCAACAAGGTTTGTTTAGCGACATCCAGAATTAGCTCGTCCTTTTTTCCAATTTCAGCCCGATTATTGTACTTCCTGATCCATCATGGGGGCATCTGTACTCTCCATATTGCTTCTACTGAGTGGTACGTTACACACTAACTTTGAAATCGTCTTGAGAAACATAGCCACCGGAAGAGGAAATAAAAATGCTCTCCTTCAAATTTTGCAGGATCTATAAGCCACTGGTCCAAAAAAGAAATTGAAGATGGGAATAATGTCACAAAACCTCGTGAGTGTTAGAAGTCGTCAAGTCCTTAATTATAAGTTGCTGATTCGTTGCTATGATCTTGTTTTTACTCTGTAGTAATATATAGAGCCAATTGCAAAAGGATATACACCCAGGAAACGAACATTTAAAAGAATGGTACTAAGCAGGCAATTGAACAGATGTCGGCGAACTCTACTCATCTACGGGCCATTAAGAACTGAAGTTTTTGTGTCCAGTTAAAATGGTTAAAGTGTTCAAAGTGTTTAAATTCGTTTAGCCTTTATTTGCAACCGGCCTCCATATTGTAATCGTAACATTAAATTGCACCTAGGGTGACCACATTCCTGCTAAAACGACATATTGAGGGACTTTATTAACACACCCACCACGATATGTGGCTTCGCTATCACATTTATTATTTCGTGTGGTCCGAAAGCACATTTATACACCTGTTAATAGTATTGCCTGCCAGAGTGTCTAACCGAAATTCTTACCGGTTCTGTTACGGTTAGGGTTCCCGGCTTTCAGTTCAGTACCGGTTCATCTCCAGGAAGCAAAACTAAGGGTTCAAATAGGTTTGCCCCGTTAAATCGAGAATATATTTTCCACGTTGTTTTGGCAACGGGCACTATTTTTTCCGTGTAACAAATGACTACGTAATTTGTTTTTCTTTTAAATATTTTCAGACATCTTACAATAAAAAGAAGTAGCTACACTTATAGGGTTTGAGCTGGTGAGTTATACGGCCAAGGGGACATAAGATACGAGGGTTATTGCAACAATCAGATAGCTAATTAGGTAACATTTCATAATTAGTTTAATTGGCGAAAATACACGAATCGTTCCCATTAGAAACTTGCTGACCGTTATCAAAAACCACTAATTCACTCATTTTCAGAAGGAATTTAGGCGTGTGAAAAGCGCAGTTCTGCGCTGAAGTTACCCCTCGTGCAGCTGAAGCAAGGCTAACGGTGAGATAATTCACCGGCGCGATTTTTCCGTCCCTTATTTCAGAGCCTAGCCTTGTACTTGCTGCACGTGTTGTAGTTTTAGCGCACTACTTTGCTTCAAACGTGCTCAAAGTATTTATAAAAAATATTGATTTAGTGGTTTGCGATGAAGCTCAGCAAGTCACTTATTGACGCCATATGTTGATTTTCACTAATTAAAAGTTATTGAACAAATTTTACTTAGCCCTTTAAGTGCCTTGGACGAGCTAAGCTCCTCGGCCGCTTTCTAGTTAAAATGCCATGGACAAACTCAGCTCGTCCAGTGTTACTTTTCAGTAGCCCTCAAATCCACGGACGAGCCTAGCTCGTCCGGGCTAAGCTCGTCCGCTTTAGTTCGCGCCTTTTTTTTTTTTTTCGCCGCCGCTGATTTTTGCGCAATAAATTGAATTTGTATATCTGATACTAAAAGAAGAAAATTACTGAATAAAAAAAAATGGCATTTTTGGGTTACTTTCAAAAACAAAAGTGGCACTTAAGGGTTTTATTAGCCGACTGATCGTTACGATTAGCCGCATATACTATGTCACTTAAGCCATATACCTCATCTGCACAAAAGGCTTAAGAATAGCTTTCACGGTTTTTTCAACAAATCAATAAAGATCTAAAAACTGCAGGAAGATTCATTGGTGCAGGGATTTCTAGGGAATGCGTTAGCGTGACCCTTTGAAACCCCACATACGTCCTCCTTTGGGAAACGCTAACACTGACCCCTTCACTTTTCTCTTTTGCCTTTAACTTTTGCATTCTATATTAATTGGTGCCTCTTTTTCGCCTTGTTACGGGGTCATGGTTGGGGTTTCCTAAATTGGGACATGTATGACGTTTCCCAAGGGAAGTGCCAAAGGATTCTCTAGGAATCCACCATTGAATCATTCTGTAATTTCTTCACCCTTGCGCTATACTCTGCCCGTCAGAGCACGTCGATTCCCTTAGATACGATATTCCATATCGCTGGTGAAAGAGCTACATCCATACTACTCTTGAACGAAAAAGCATCCGTATCACTCGTGAAGGAAATCCCATCCACCATTTTAACTACACACACCACACAGCCCACGCTCCGCTCCTCCGAAAACACACAGCAAAAAACATCCGGCGACGGCAGAGCGGCAACTGAGCCCGCATTCCACCGCGCCGCGGCGCAACACTTTCTAGACAACAAGGACGTAGTCCTCAGTGACTGCTGAATCAGATGGCGTCATCAAAGAAAGCCAACGCTGGGCACAGATTGGAAACGATGATTGCGTCTACGTTCGGCTCAAACGTGACTCCAAGCCGAGCGCTGGCGTAGGACTCGTTTCCAGTCTGTGTCCCGCATTGACCTTCTCTGATGACGCCATCTCACTCAGCACTACGGCTTTGTTATCTGGGAGGTGTTGCGCTGCGCCTCCTCCTCTCTGGCTCCGCGCCAGTGGTGCCCTTTCCTTTTCGTCAGTCACTGACGAAAAGGAAAGGGCTCGTTTTGACGAAAACCCAGCGGTGTCTGTCAGTTTGCCAGGGCTGGGAAAGAGGGAAAGGGTGACGCGTGCTGACGTCGCCACGACGGAACATCGGCAGCGGCGCGCGCGTCACCCTCTTTTCCTTCCTCTCTCCCCGGCGCTGAAAAAGAAAAAGACACCGGTGGGTTTTCGTCTAGACGCGCGATCTATTACTAACGCATTCAACACCCTCTATACTACATTCACCCTTAAGCTGACACTATGGTGGGAGCTATGTGCCCGCCGGACCAATCAGCTGCTTCCGTCTTATCAGATGATATGGCTCCCCGCTTGTGTGTTTTATGAAGTTATTACATGAAACGCTAGAGGCTCAGGTGGCGCTATTCTGCTGTTGAATTTTGAAGCAGGGAACAACCAGTCTAAATTTAACTTCCAAAATGCAAATGTGTTTTCTCTTCGTGCTCGATTATAAGAGAAAATATTGCTTAGTGTTGTGACAGAACAAAAGTTGGGAACGTTTTACAATCGGATGTACAAAAATGTGTCAGTCACGTCGTTTTTCTTTAGAGTTCATGGCGCCTAGCGCTGCGCTAAAATAGCCCAATACGCATGTCGAATACGTGTTGACGTTGCAGACTACTATTATAGGGCACGTATGTACGCAGATAGTCAAAGCTATGAAGCACACAGAGTGAATCAGCTTGACAAAACACCAAAAGGATACTAATATATGCAAAATCAAACATTCAAAACAGACGACCAGAACCAAGCATGCAGTTATGGAACGAAGAACAAGTACTGGATTAGTTAGACACTTTGCATGAATAATCAAAACAAAGCAGTGAACGGGCGTTGTTGTTGTGAAATAATTACGATTGTTCTTTTTGGATGAATTGATAGCTTGTATTGACATATTATGGTGTACAACATAGACCTGGGCCTCAATTTTGATAACTTGGATATCACTCAGTAATAAAAAAAAAAAACATTACCTAAATAAATTACACTTTTATAATTTCCATAAAGCTACATCATACCCGTTACGAGTAAAGAAACTACGCCGATTTCTAATATTTTCTGGCGAAGAGAAAAATATCGCGTACGTTTTCCAATAGGAACACACAGGGAAGACTGGAAAAGTAGACTGGTTGCTGTCTGCTTCAATTTGCAGCCGGAAATCCCGTAGACAGTTGCGCCAGTGGATCCTTTAGCGTTTATTGTAATAACTCTTTGGTGGATTAGGGCGAGAGCGTGATGACGTGGCGAAAAAGAAGGGGTATGTCTGGTCCAACGAGGACGTAGCTTCCACCACCGTCTCATTTTGGGGGTGAATGGAGGATAGTTTTTCATCGTTAGAACTGCCCACTTTTATTGCCAGGTAAAAAAAACAAGAAATTGGGTTATTTAACTTCATTCATTCATTCATTTGTTTATTTTTTTGTGCTCATGAATAGCTTGTCGCCTTCAAGGAAACAGTAAAAGAAACTTGATTAGCATTCAAGTGGTGGTGTTTATACGACTCAACGTCCATTATCGTCCATTAGCCAAATATATCTGAATCGAAATGTTGTCACGAAGTCTGGTAGCTCACTTAAAATACCCGTGATTTGAAGAACTTCGCATCGCAGTATGAAAAGCCGAATCGTAGTTGTTCTCTTTAAATAAGGAATTAATTGCTTTGCATAAAATTACGAAATAGGCTGGTCGTTTTTTATATAATGAAATCGAGCATATAGCCAGGGGGAGGCCCATAAGGCCCGGCCCTCCCCCCGCCCCCCCCCCCCCGAAATCTTCCATTTTTCTGGGACCTCCTCTCCCCCCTACCCCTCATACAGCATTTTGTCATGGGCGCCCCCCCCCCCCCCCCCCCCCCGAAACAAAATACTGGCTACGTGCCTACATGAAATACATTTTACCCAATACGTTTTACAATATGCAAGTGGGCCGTAAAAACCAGCATATTTGACACACCCGACAAGATTCGAATTCCAAACGTACATAGCTGAAATTGGGCACACAAATGTAGTTTTTGAAGAAGCTTAATGTAAATATTTCTGGAGCTCAATTCTGAGGTAGCGAAGCATTAAAAATAAAGCAAAATTGGAAGCTGTACATTCCCGTGTCTCATACCAGCCTGTTTGTCGTCTGCACACTGGTTTATGAGCTCGCTCCCGGGTGGCTTGCTTAACACGAAAATGCTAAAACCAATGGCAGGGTATTTTGATGAGCAAGAAAATCGCTATAATTATTGACCATTCGGGTGGTCTTTTCCCGGCAAAATATTTTGCCATATATTCGGCAAGCGCGTTCGCATGCTAAAAGTCTGGTGAGTGCGAGCCGTTTGGGTTGTGCTTATCAGGCGAATGCCGTACATTTGCCGGCACAATCTTTGCCCGAGCTCCAACAGGTCGAGCAGCTTGTCTGCCAGAGTGTATCCGGTATCGTTCTATTCGAATCGGGAAAGGGAAGTAAACGAAACAGTGCTCGCCTATTACGAGTTCGAGTTGAAAACGAAGCCATTGAGACTGACACCCCTTTTGGCGCCGTGCAACGATAGTAAAGACAACGAAGA